TATGCTCACTTCATATGGCTATTGCAAGAATTGTTCCTAACTCTGATAGTTGAAACTAGATTATTAATTTCCTTATTGATATTTCTACTTGTAAACTTATGGACTTTCATGTCTTGACTATAGTATTACAATTAAAAAAGATTGAGACTGTTGTGTTTCAAGAAGCTGTATATATTGCAGTTAGTATGTTTAATATTTCTGTCTTGCTTGCTGATAATTATATTAATATTCTTATTGAGACCCTTTTCAAGCTTACTATTGTTTTCTCTTTTTTATAGGAGCTATTCATATAAAAAGTAAAATGATTAATTATATACCTTTTATTATATTTCAGAGCATCTATAAGTTTATCTATAAGTTTTTTTGATTAGATGGCTTGTCTTATTAATATAGCTTCACAGTTTTCTACCTGGATTTCTACTTCAGATCTAGATATTAGTAGAGTTACTGATTGTTGCTTATAGCTGTTTATCAATCTGTAGGGTTGCTTGACAGTAAGACTTGTTTTTCTTTTCTCAAATTTTCATGTTTATTTAGTCGTAAAAGAAGATAAACTTGTGATATGCTTACTTATATTATTTGAAATAAGTTATTTGGTTGAAATAGAGTATAGTTTCTAGTAAAGCTATATATCAATTGATATAAAGCAAACAGAATTTTGTTATTAAAGAATGATATTTTTTCAATATATCAATTGGAGAGCTAGAGCAGGTTATCTAGTATATTTTTCTTCTATTCAGATATATTGAAAAAACTTCAGTTTGAATATTATAGCCTATTTAGTCTAGTCCATTTAGTAACTTCCTTAAAAGATTATAATTATTTGTCATCTTTTTATAGATCTTTTTATACCAAAAGAGGACTGGTCCTTTATATTCATTGAAAAGAATCTAGATTGCACTCTATTCCTTAAGTATCATAATAGTTATATTTATGATTTGATCTAGGAATATGATCTTGTGCTTACAAAGTAATAGAATGATTTTTTCATGTTCTCTATTATTTTATAATATTGATTTAATAGATAAGATACCTTCTAAATAATTAAGAGTTTCTTTTCATCTTTAGTTTTGAAAGGTGATTTGTAGGTTTTTGGTTAGGCTAATATTGTAGCTGCCAGGTTTCCTTTAATCATTTTGTATAAGTCTACGGGATTATCTAAGATATTTTCAAGTTTCCAACCTTTGATCAGGCTTTGTTTCAATTAGATTATAATATTTATATTATAGATCTCATTATTGTTGAGCTAGTAGAATAGTGCTAATATATAGCTTTCCAATTATATTTTTCAAATACTTTTGAGATTATATATTTCTTTGTTATAAATACAACTGTTTGAAATTGTTCTACAGATAATAATAGATCTCTAAAGTATTTAGTATATAAAATTTTGCAGATTACTTATATCCCTTTTTGAGAGACAAAATTCATAACTCTTTACTTTAATAGGGACAAAAGTCAGAAAATATTATAAATTAATAATTTGAATAATAAAGAACAATTGTGGATAGTTTTTTTATAGTTGTTAATTTAAAAATTTGAATGTTTTCTAGTGAGGGACATTTGACTTTTGTTACTGTTTCCCCCTTTAGAGACCCATCTTTATCTACAGATCAAAACTTTGTTCTTGAAAACTTTTTTGAATATGACTGTAAGTTTATTATATATTTTTTCATTAAAGTATATATGTTACATTTTATATTCTATTCTTAGAATTAGCACTTTATTGATAATATATTGAAAATGTTTTTCTGTTAACTTCTTATTGGATATTGCCTGAACTATTATATTGATTTCTAATTTTATTAGACTAATTATATTCTAACTTTTTTGATTTGATCTTAACCAGATATCAAGTAATCTGGTCTGATGTTTTTTATCAATTTCATTAACCACAATATTCTCTATTTTAGAATAAGCACTTCTAGGATCTTGAGAATTTTATTTGATAATGAGAAAGACTGGCTTTGTTGTATTAATTTGTAACTCATTTGCTATATAGAACAATTTTGCTTCTTTCAAAATATGTTTTAAGTCTTTTTTGAATTTGATAATTTATATTGTGTCATTTATATAGGCTATAATTGCCTGCTTTAAGGAGAGCTTGGCCTTTTCCTCAGGTTTGTAAAAGTTGAACAATTATTCTTCTTTATAGTATAATCGAGATCAGTATTATTTTGGATTTTATATAGCAGCAGGTCATAAAAATTTTTTTATAACAATAAAGAGATTGTTTCTTCTTGATTTATACTGTCTCCTGCAACTATTGGATTAGAAAGTCCATTGGAAAGAATGATGTTATAACTTCTATTTTTGAAAAGATTCATTATAATCTTCTTAACATTTATAGAAATGTCTTGAAAAAAAATTCATCATTTTTTTTCTTTTTTCTAACTTCTTTATATATACTATTTAATAGATAAATGGATTCTGCTATACTTTCTTCTAATAAGTCAGCAAAGTTTGAACCTTTAAAGATTTTGTATTGTTTACATATCCTTGATAGATAATTGATAAGGATTTTGGTAAAACATTTTCAAGCTATTTTTAAAAAAACAATGGGTCTGATATTGTTCAATTAACATCTCCAAGGTTCAGAATGCAATAAAAAAATTCTATTTATTACCTATAAATCATTCACCATGCTTAGCTGTGACCATATCTTTCATGGACTTTATATTGAGAAAAAGATTCTGCTTACTATATCAAATAAATGTCTCTTTCCTAAGTGTGAAAAAAGTATTGAGCTTATTAATAAAGTAAAATAATAAGACTTTGTATCTTCTGAAATAAGTGATATTTCGAATCTGATTGATGAATTCACCTGTAATATTGGATTTAGTTCTTAAAAAACTTCATCATCCCAGGATCAAAACATGGATATAGATGGAAATGAAGAAATAGAACATTAATTTGAAATTCCATCCATCCTACCAAAAAAGTGTATGGCAAATCTATCAACAAATCACCTATAAGAAAACAAAGAAACAAGTATTAAAGGAAAATTCTCCCATATTAAAAAAACATATTGAAAAATTGACATTGATACCTGAACATTCTGAAAAAGTGATAGAAGTCAACGAAAGCACTAAAAAATTTTTGTTGCATTATAGCAAAATTATGTAGATTGAATCTAAAAGTGAGATAGCAAGTAAGGAAGTTATTGAAAGTTATTTTAACTTTGGTGAAGCTATGAAAAAATGTTTCGATCATAAGAATTTGAAACATGGAGATCGAGCTTGCTTGGCTCTTGTTAATTACGAAATCCGAAAACTCCCCGATAATATCACCAATGATGCATTGAAAAAAAGAAAGGAGAGAGCAGGAAAAATACATGATTTATTTATTAGTATTGGTAAAGAGAAAACAAGAAACATTAGATCATTTTCGGCATCAAATATTTCAAACAAGTCAAGAAAATATTGATTATGTGATAGTTGAAGTTTTAAAAAAGGAACACAGAATATGATCGTTACTGCGCCACATTACTGCGCTAGTGGCATGTCTGCATCTCGGAAAACCAGACAATAAAAAATTTTGATTGGTTTAACATATTGTATATACAGTATGCGACGCGAAGACGTCTTGAACTTTTAAGCTTCGTGCAATTTAAATTTAAATAAAATCAATCAATACTTTCAGACTAGTCAGGTGGGTTATAATCTTTTTTTCGTTTTTACAATTTACTGATAGCTTTGTTAAGAACGAAAAAGCGCCTGCGATAGACTGTCTTGTTCTATCGGAAGCCAGTAATGACAATACTGGCAAGTCATCGTCCAATGGATGGCCGGCTGTTTCCGGAAGACAAATTTATTAAGGATCTGTTAAGCGCATAAGGCGCCTGCGATAGACTGTCCTGTTCTATCGGAAGCCAGTAATGGCAAGTCATCGTCCAGTGGATGGCCGGCCTTAAGTGAATAACAGTTCACCTCGACAGTTATTAATTGACTTTATTCGACGAGACATTATTTTTAATAAATTTATTGAGATCACTAAATAGGAAAGAAGGAAGTTAACATAGGTTGGATGCTTTCGTGCAATAACCCGACTCCTCTAGAATTCTTTCGCCGGATCCAGCCAACACATCAACCTCGTGCATTCGAAAAATATGATAAAATTCTTGATCAAGCTATTAAATGTTGTAGAGATCCAGAAAAGCAATCGACTCTAAAAAAAGTGAAAGAAACCGCTAATGTATGTAATCGAATATATTTTGCTCAAGTATATTAGGAAAGCAGTTCTAACATCTGTTTTTCACTAAATAGTGTAATTCAGACTGGAGCGTGTGGCTGATAGAGAAACAAGCGGTATGTTCAATCATAAATTTTCGACAAGGTTCTTGGCTAACCATGATATCTTCAGATGAAGATTCGTAACGAGGTCCATTAGACAAATGTTGAAATTCATAGAGAATTAAACAAGGTCGTCGGAAGAGGACAATAGAACCGAATGGAGAAAACTTGCGAAAAAAAACAAAAATAATTGGACGGTAAGCTAAATTTGCGATTGTTCACGAAACATTTAAGTAAGTTCTTATAATAATTCCAATTTAAAGAACAAAAGGATGACAACGAAACAGGACTGTCAAGTGGAAAATGTAGTCAAAATGAGGTGAATGATTTTAATACATTGTTTGATATGCTATTGAGTATTGATACCATTTATTTCTTTCTAACTTACCTTTATTACATTATCAGAATTCATCGTGTGAAAATACAGCAAGAGCATATTTAGAAAATATGAAAAAAAAAATTGAGTCATATTGGCCGTCTTATGAAAAATCATTCCGAAAAATTAAGGAGGAAAATAAATGGTGCTTATCTTCGAGAAGAAACGTGGAAGATGTTCTCTATGCGTATGCATCAAAGTTGGAGATTGAGAAACCGGTCCATTCCTTTATAATCGACACAACAGATGATAATATCAAGAATTTATTTAGCGAAACTGAGTAGGATGAAATTATGAATGTTAATAAGAAAACTGTACCGGCCATTGACAAGGATATTGGGACGCATTTGATGAGCTACAAAAAGAAAACCCCTCAGAAATGCGAGCACATGTTATGAAACCGCGGTTAAATACGACTTATAACGTAGAAGATCATTTCGATTTTCAATACATTCATATTGTTTTTTCACATCTATTGGACGAATATGAGTTTCCGAAGAACCGATTGGTACAACCGCATGCGGAAGGGTGGTACGCAGTCAATATTTGGGGTATATTAATTGATAAAGCATTCTTAAATGTTCCCAGCATAGATCTTGTCCGTGGTGAGACGTGTAGCGTTGCATCAAGCAACCGAAGTTATGATGATGAGATGTACATGGTGAAAGGCAATAGAAAAGCACTGGGCATCGAATTTATGGTATTATTCAAAACTTAGTCAACAACTGTGAATACGGAGGAATTGAAGTCGCGAAAACATGTCAAGGTTTACATGATAGGAAACAATTAGACGATTCGGGCAAGTTATCATATCTTCAGAAATCAAAGACAAACTAGACAATGAAGTAATAATAGAATAAGATGAGAAAGAAACAAAAAAAAAGAATATCCTGTAACAGGGAGCTGTGAAGTAGTAGATATATATTTTCTAAAGATAAAATAAGATCCAATATAGAAAGTACACAAGATCCTTTAAAGAGTATTCTAGTCAACCTGGAAAGACTACATGCTAGAATAGATACTTTAGAGAGATAAACAGTTTTCAGAAGATCAAGACTCAATAATAGAGAAGCAAATCATTTCTAAAGGCACATCAATCCTTGATAACAATTAAAAATATAAAGAGCCCACTGCCTCCTTGTTAAAAACCACAAATATGGACAACAGATGAACTCTAATAAGTAATAATATAAGAGGTGAAGAATCTAGATATCTCAACATTTTTACAAGATGAGCAGATAACTTTTCTAAATAACAATACTAGATATAGATTATTAAAGAAAACCAAAAAATGGAATGAAATATGCAAAAAGGTGATTAGAATATATATATATAATGTTAGAGATATTATGAATAAAGCAAAACAACAAAATCTAATTGAAGAGATATTAAAATAGGGAATAGGTATACTGGGATTATATGAAACAAAATTAACTTATGTTAATGTACAATGGATATTCAACAACTAGAAAAACTATAAACATTTTCATAGTATTAATAAGGACACATCATTTAAGGCAAGAGTTTATCTCTTTATCAAAAGAGATTGAAAAAAAATTATATCAATAAAAAAAGAAAAAAATATATACTATTGCTACCAACATGTTTATAAAAAAGATCTATATTATACAAATCTATATTCCTTTAGACAAACTAAGATATAAAATAATATAAACCAAAATAACTAGTTTTATTAAAAGAAAATATGAACAAGACCATTACACAATAGTTATAAAAGATTTTAAGCAGCCTACAGCTTATCAGAAGATAGAAAATCTTTTTCAAAAGTAAGTTTCAGATTATTATGATGATCTAAAATTCTACTATTCAACTTTCTTAATAAATAGGACTTTGTATATATGCAAGTCATATGAGAAGGCAAAGAAAAATCTAATAAGTAATAGTTAAATAAACTATATTTGGATTTTGCATAATCTAATAAGTTATCAATTGCTTTAATTTAATAATTAAGATATAGAAGATATTATAAATAGTAACTACACTATGCTTCTAATAACCTTACATAATAAAACTCTTTTTACAAGAAATAGAATAACAAAACTTATCACAAATATACTAAAAAGAATTAATATAAAATAAATATCTTCATTTCAATAACAAGTCTTATGTGAAAGTGTAAATCATAAATTTAAAATATTATTAAAATTATTGCTCCAAAAAGATTTTAATCAAGATAAAAAGAAAGATTAGACAAACAAGTTGCAAAAAAACTTTGAAAAACTATTATATAAAACAGTCTTTAATAAACTAGCAATAAATAAACAATCTAGTTAGAAGAAAAGTATTACAAGCATAATGTTAAATTCATTAACTAAAAAGGTTCTACAATTTAAAAACTTTACAATAAAACAAAGATATTAAAAAAAATAAATAAGCTACAGGTCCTTAACTATAGAAAAACATAATAGTACTCACAATCTAAATCATCCGATTGAGAACTATTGCACCCAATATAGTATTTCTAATATACTATGGAAATCTTTAAAAAAAGTATCTAAAACACTATAGAAGGCCTTAAATTTATATATCAAAGATTAAAAGCCAAAAAAATGAGATAATATTAAAACTATTTTAAAACAAAGATATAATGATCTGAAAAACAATCAAAGATGTATGGTCAGCTCTTTAATCAACTGAAATAAAAGCAAAATAGTATTAAATATAATTAATATAAAGCAAAATGATAATAAATATATAATAACAACAAAAGAATAAAATCAAAAAAAAATTAGATAGTATTATTGCAAGGCCTTCAAAAAAGAAAAACTAGCTATGACAGTCTATCAGAAGATTGAAAAGAAAAGTACATATCAAAAGAATATATTCAAATAGATTGATATAATGAACTACTTAAACTAAATTTATAAAAAAAACTAAGTGAAATATTAAAAGCACTATCCAATAATAAAGCATTAGAAAAATCTCAAATCAGTTATAAAATAATAAAAAGATTAAGTCAAAAGAAAAAATTTTTTAAAAAGAATGTCAAATAATTTTTTAAGATAAAAAGTTACTTTAAAACATTGAAAATAAAGTCATATATATTCTATAGTTAAATTCAAACCTTGAAATTATGAACTCTCAAATACTAAATCTATTATTCTACTAGAGATTATAAGAAAGTGTTTTATAAAAATCCTTATTAATAGAATGAGAAATATTTGTAAAAACAACAATATTATCAGAGGATCAAACTATGCAGGGCTGCTAGGAGAAAGTACAGCAGAACCTATTCAGATCCTCAATAATATTTATAAAGATATCAGAAAAAAAAAAAAGGAACTATAGATATTTTTTCAAGATATTACAAAAGCATATGATACAATTGGTTTAAATATACTAGTAAAAGCAATAAAAAGAATTAAAGCTTCAAAAAGTAAGTTTTATAAAGTTTATAATGAGCTTTCTCTAAAATAAAGAATTTTAAATCATAATTAAAAATGACCTTATAAAATCAATAGTAGTCAGAGATGAAATTGATCAAAAGAAAATCGTCTTTTTTCTACTATTAAAAATTTTTTAAGATTTTCTTCTTTTCAAAATTTAAACCAATATACAAAGAAGATATAAAATATCAGTTACAAAAAACTCTGGTTCAAAAAAATAGATTACAAGAAAGCTATAATTAAGATATATAAATATAGTTTTCATGAATAATATAATATGAATAGAAGATATATAAATAACATAATTAAAAAAAACTCTTTTCGTCAATCACCCAAACCACAAATTTTTAGAAAAAAACTTAAATAAAATTTCATTCAAAGGTAAGCAAAAAGAGCTTGAAGATAGTCCCTCCAAGACTATACATAATGAAAATGAATTTTTTATCTTAGACATTGTCTTAACAGGCAATAAAAAATCAAAAATCTCTGTTATCTATAAACAAAACAAAACTTCTTTCGTCTTTGCAACAAAACCAGCCTCTCACCTTCAAGTTCCTATCCTTCAATACTACACTACATCCTGGCTAATTCCAATTATTAACCCTCTCAACTCAGATTCAAATTTAGACTAAAAATTGTTTACATCAAGTTTGAAACCAAAAAACAAACTTTATGAGTCTCTTCCCCTTTCCTCAATGTTTTAGTCGAAATTCTTCCTCACAATGACCTCACTATTCTCAACAAATTCATGAAACATCAATCAACCTTTCATTTATCAGTGAATGACAGAACACTTGCAGTTTGTCAAGTCATTAAAAACACAATGAATTACAAACTTCACTGTCACTGGAACCAAATATCCATTTCTACCAACACCAACTCCAACACTTTTTTCCTCAAGAAAAGGAAAATCTCCATATTCCCTCAAAACACTCCCATATCACAAGATATTGATTAGCAGCCCACAAAGATTACAAATTAAGATTTCTCTTATCTACCTGCAGCTAAATTAACTAATAAGGAAGGCGATCGACCCTTTAATAATAACAAATCAGGCAATTTTATTAGTGATAGCACACCTAAATGCACCAATCAAGTTCAACCTCCTCTAGATTAGAACACAGCTACAGATATAGAAATCGATCCCAGTAATAAACAATCAACTCCTCTCTTATGAGCCAACAAAACTGAAGACATATTTAATTCTGAAAACATTAAAAATGCAAGCCCACTAGACTATCAATCCTCTATTACTGAAATGGCAGCAATCATTAATAATATCAATCTCTCACCTAAATCTCTCATAAAGATGTTTATAAAAATCAGAAATCTTCCTCGTATCCCATCCCCAAAGGCCTTATCAACAGTTCTTACAAAAATCTTATACAAAGACAGAGTATTCTTTAGATCCTTTGCCAAATCTGAAGAGCTAAAAGAAACTCATCAGAGAGAATATGAAAAGCTAGTAAAAGACTTTCAAACTAACTACCTCAACAAACATAATATTGGCTATATCAACAGGACCACAAAAAAAATCAATATCGTCATCAACAAATCCATCTTTGCTACGTATTTATGAACCTCAGACCTCCACACTCTTCGATACTGACAAGTTGCCCAGTTTCTAGAATATGGCTTCAATTACTTATTGACCCTACACTAAGAAGATAGATTATAAAGCACTCCTGATGTATTCAGAAAAACTTATTAAAAATGTTCTCCCAGAGCTTCCCAAACATTCTAATGAAATCCCTTCCAGAATCAAAATCAAATTGCCCCATGCCCTCCCACTAGAAGCATCTTCTATGACCGCCACAATGGCTCAAGCATTGAGATACTTCTATAACTTTGATCTTTTACCTGAAAGTTTCTTCAAAAAACTACCAAATCTCCTATCGGATCCCCAGAACCTTCCCTCTGAATTCAAATCCATTTTTCCCATTACAGAATGAGCACAACTTCGTGTTCTCAGACAATTAGTCAATCAACTACGTGAAAAGTTCTACGTTTCCCAACAAACTTCTAGATAAATATTTCGATCTTCCCCCTCCAAAAATCAATCTTCCTGATACGTACCAATAGTGTTCACAATTTTGATCTGAATCTGATTGATCCGTGAATCGGATATGAATCAGATTGGATCAAATTTCAAAAATTTTAATCTGATCTGATTCAGATTGAATCGAATTTTAAATTTACAAAATTATCGGATTCAAATCAGATTTGAATCAAACCCAATATATTGCAAATAAGATATGCACCAGCCCATCAGTCCATATAAATTGTTATATAACTATTTAATTTTATTTAA